GACTCTCTTAGCTGCCGAGAGAAGCAGCAGATGTTTGTGAACAAACTGTCTGTTTCATCTGATTTCACCATTTAAACAGTAACCGTAATATAGCTACTCCTTTGTGGCCCGGGGAGAAAGTCCCAGACTCCCTTCAACAATCCTGCAGTTTAGTGACTTGTTGAGTTAGAGGACACTTTAGAAACTTTGTGAAACGCTGTCTACGACAAACTCTTAATGATTCTGCTGTAAATTCAACATTAAATGTGATACATGAAGTTATTTCTTTCTTTGTGTAAAAATACGATGAACAAAAAGCTTCAGCAGGATATTTTCATGAGCCTCTGATGTGATAATAACAAGCGCTTCATTAAAACTCTGCTCTGTGTGAAGCACACTCCCTCATACACATCAAATATGATCAGCTGGTTTCAGGAAACCAACTAACTAAACTTCATCTTCTGCCTGAAATCAAGGAGCCATGTTTCTAAACGGCCTTAGCGACAGTAACTAAGGGGGCGGGGCGAGACATCGCGAGAACACTCCGCGGGATCCCGCAGCGCTCCTGTATCTCAGCCTGAAGTGCTCCGAGACCAGAATCCAGACTCAGTCCAGGACAACACGGTCCACCAGTCACAGCGGAGACCTGCAGGACGATGGAGAACCAGAACCCGGACCGCAGGAGCCAAACAGCAGCCTCGTGCTCTGATAGCGCCGATGTTCAGGTCAGTGTTCATGACTTCATCACGAGACTAAAGACACGAGGAAGAGTCTCGAGGGTCCGTGTATCATCCGTTCATTCTGTTGTTAGAGATCAGAGCCTGAAAACCCGCTCCAGGGTTTGTGTTGACGTGGTTTGATTTCCAAAGTGTCTCCGTGGTTCCTGTTTTCATCTTGAAGAGAGGAAGCTGAAAGAAAAACTCACGAGCGTTTCTCTTTTCTTTGTTCCGGGAGTTTCCCGCGCGGCGCATGCGCAGTGCAGCCCGTGTTGTGTCGGGAGCGCGCAGCGGAAACAATGCTGGTGAAAAGTGAAGCAGAGTCATTATATTTCCTCGTGAGCACTAGTCTTTTCTAGAATCCATCACGTATTCAGGAGGGCAAGAATGAGGCTGAAGCAGAACATACAAAAATATGAATTAATGATGAAGTTGAATAATTAATAAGCATCTTGTAAGTTTACGGTTATGTCAAATTTCAAATGGTGTCGTCTTTAAGTTTGTATTCGACGGAATACCTTATTATCTCATTTAAAATAACTGAAACATGTTTACGTGACAAAAGCTCCCCTCTTTTTTTAATTGCCGTTAATAAATAGCATAATTTGAAATTGAATTTAATAGCTTGAAAGTGAATTCCAATAAACGTAAAACTGAATATACTGATAATAAATATAATATATGCACCGAGGATAAAAACTACTGACGCCCTGTTCTGCAGGTCAGTCGCTGTGAGCCAGGCCCAAACACTCGACAATCTTTACATCTATTCATGGTCACATAATTGTTTAATCAGCTAATATATATCCTATGTTTGTTTTAATATCTGTAGTCACAGATCGCCTCCAGTAGTATCAGCAGCAACCCGTCAACTGCAACTGTTCCCTGTACGTTATGTCAACAGTGTTTTAAAGCTGGAGCTGGGTATTGGCTGTCAAGGTCCAGGCTGACGAGAGTTTGTTTGCTGCTGATCCACCTTGGGCAGTTGGAAAATCCAGAGCAGATAATAAATAAACACTGAAAGATGGGAAGGAAGTACAACCTTTAGATCTGGGGAAAGTTATTTGGTTGGTTATGATGCTCTCCACGGTGATTTTACATTTATGGCGCAGCACCTCAGAATCATTATAGAAACGTTCATGTTTGCCTTTTGTGTCTTCATTTTACAGCTTCTGACATTTATCTGTAGACATTAATATAAAATATAGGCAACATGAGAAACCAGCTCCCTTCTGCACATTAAAATCCAAAAAGTAACGTCTTCTCATTCGCTTAAAAGGACTAGTTTGCATCACTAATTTGCTTTACTAACCTCAGCTCCTCCACAGTCACCACCTTTTCCCAACAACCACTTTTTCAGACTAGGCTACAGGACAGAGCTGTAGGCTTCACCAGTTTACTCTAAGTTTTACCTGATGGTCTCAACATTGGACAAGTAGGCATCAATAAATTACAGCTGCCAGTTACTTTCTATAAATTGAGCTAATGTTCAGTTACATTGCAGCCAAAAGACACAGCCTACTCTATAAGATTTCCTGCTCAGTTGCACAGTCTGAGGGGAGGGGAGCTGTTAGCTAGCTTAGCGCAAACCGGCTTCATTTTTCCAGCAGTTGGGGAAACAACAGACAGAATTTTCTTGGTCTTGAGAAGCCAACACATACATTTAGTGCCAGAATATTTTCCTCCGCACCGTTCACCAAAAACTCGCTTTGCGCCTTACGGTGCACGCAGATGTCGTTTGAAGAACGAGGAGAGGAAGTGTTACCTTGCTCGCACAGCGTGTGAGTGAAAATTAGTAGCGCACTGATATGATAATGACTGTGGGAATTTTTAGTAGCGGCGGCCACAATCCAGCAGCGGCGCACCACCGCTCTTGAATGTATATAGGGGAAACATTGACATAACAATATGTTTCTGTATCGATATTTTGAGAACAGCCCTATTTAAATCCTTGTTCCATGTGCCCTTTCTATACTTTGAACACCTGCCCTTCCAAAGGTGTCTGCACGGCCCTGACCATTTGTTATGTTGTCGATAGTCTTCCTGAGATGACAAACGAGGATAATGGTGCCTGCAAGGCTAAACTGGGTTGGGCCAAGCTCACAAGTGAAGATCTGTTGTTGTGCTGTAGGAAATCAGACGTTCTTTTGAGCGGTGTTTATTTATCAAAAGGTGTAATTGTGTGTTCAAATGTAAATTGTATTGACATTGCTCATTGTGAAGCTCTCTGTGCTGTGAATGGTTGTATTGTGGGACTTGTGTATGAGGCAAGTAGATGAATACGACACGGGGGTTACTCTCCCCAGCCCTCTTCAACATGTATGAATGATTTATCAGAACAACTAAGGCTGCAGAACTAGCTGTATGATTGTTAACAACTGTTAACTGTTAAATGATTTGTAGGCCAATGAGCTGGCTATTGTTTCTCCTAGCAGTGATGGATTTCAACAGCTGCTGAATATGTTTGATTATGGGGTCAAATGTGATGTGCAATACAATGCTAAGAAGAGTGTTGTCATGGTATGTGGTACAAAGGGGATAAGGATCTCAACTTTCCAGATTTTTATCTAATCATTTATTTGACAGGGACAGTGTACATTAATTAACATTGCTGCAAATGCACCAGAATTGGCCAAAATTAGCATTTTCCGTGGAGTGTTGAGTTCTGAAACCAAATTGCATTGAATGAAGGGAAAATGTAGTTGTATTCAAATGTGTTATTATTCGTTGGGAAATTAGTTTCTCTGTGACTTTTGACACTGTAGGTATGATGCTTATAGGTCTGTAATTGTCCACTGAGAAAACTGGAACAACAGCAGTTGACTTCCACACACTTGGAAATACTGCCTCAATAATGGAGAGAGTGACAATTTTGGTTACTGGTGTTAATAATGTGGAACTGGGTTCTTTCAGCATGCACAAATCTATGCCAAATATGTCTCTAGTTCTGGCAGCTTTTAGTGTTCTTATTGTCTGTAAGACTTGACTGTGGCTAGATTGAAAATTGGCTCTGAATTATTTATCTGACAAACATTTAGATTGGCCGGGGCTGCGTAACTAGTTAGCATGCCGGAGTCTCGTTCGTTATCGGAATCTGTCAGCTCAAGTGCTAAATACTTGTAATCAAACAAAATACCTGGGGCACTTCTTCACATATCAAATGGCTGTGTTCAGACTGGCGCGCATCGATATTGACTGCCAGCTACTGACTATACAGAGTGCAAGCCTCCAGCTGCATTCTAACATTAACTTAGCTCTCCTTATTTGCTAGGGCCCTTGCATGCTGGCTATTAACTTTTTTAAGCTGGGTCTCCAACACTGACAGCGTTGTGTTGGACAGATTTGTGCAGCGGTGTTCCATGAGTGAAAGTGCTGCGTGAATGCTCTGCGGCGCTCTGCAATCAAATACGATTTTAAATAGGCTTGGGGGGGAGGGGGATAAACGAAAATCAATCTGTGGCGGTCAGCGTTTATATTGTGGTGAGCCGCCACAAATACATGAACTTATGGGAAACACTGGTGATGTACAATACCAGTCACCTCGTGAATTTGTATATCTGTCTTTTGTTTTTAAAAAGCGCCAGTGTTTAATTCATATTTTATTTGTGCTGTTGTATTTTAAGATGTGTTGTGTGTCTATAATGTTGTATGTTTTTCTAATGGAGAGTCTGAAAGTTGAACTGATTTATTCATGTCTGAAGTAGCATGGGACACTGTGAAAACAACATTCATATACTCTTATTTCTTATGCAGGACAATACAGCGTGTCTCACATTCACTTCTAAACAACATTTAACGGTGGTTAATAAGGTAATTTGGTCATTATTGTATGTATAGAGTTGTTCACCTGGTAGAGCAGCTGTAGAATAACAGACTGGAGCATAAAAGTTCACTGTTCTCACCCCCTGTTATGGCTCCTGTCAAAACTTCCAGGTAATTGTCATGTGATTGAACAAATCTTTGTCTTCTTAATAATGTTATTACAGCTTAAATGTATAAAGTCACACTATTACTCAAAATTAGATTTGACAAGATGTATTATAATTGCATTAAAAAATAACTACTTTTTGTTGCAGCATGAATGACTTCCGGTGTTGTGATGAAACAGGTTTACACTGGTGCCATTAGTGTCAGCTGCTTCTGGATAGCTCGCTTCACCGTGACCTCTCACTCACTGTCTTTCTCTCTGTATGTCTGTCTGTTGATGTAGAAACGAAGAAGAAGAGAGGCACTCAAACGTCTCTGCTGTCAGCACTGTGGCAAATCCTTCTCAACATCTGGATCTTTAAAGATACATCTGATGCTTCACACTGGAGAGAAACCGTACAGCTGTGACCAATGTGGGAAATCTTTCACTCGAGCAGGTCACCTAGAATCTCACAGACGTGTTCACACTGGAGAGAAACCGTACTGTTGTGACCAGTGTGGGAAAACTTTCACTCGAGCAGGTCACCTACAAAGGCACCGACGTATTCACACTGGAGAGAAACCGTACTGGTGTGAACAATGTGGGAAAGTATTCACTACATCATGTCAGCTAAAAGCACACCTACGTGTTCACACTGGAGAGAAACCATACAGCTGTGACCAGTGTGGGAAGGCGTTCCTTACATTATGTCACCTAGAATATCACAAACGTGTTCACACTGGAGAGAAACCGTACTGTTGTGACCAGTGTGGGAAAACTTTCACTACATCCAGTCACCTACAAAGGCACCGACGTATTCACACTGGAGAGAAACCGTACTGGTGTGAACAATGTGGGAAAGTATTCACTACATCATGTCACCTAAAAGCACACCTACGTGTTCACACTGGAGAGAAACCGTACAGCTGTGACCAATGTGTGAAGGCATTCATTACATCAAGTGAACTAAAAATCCACCTACGTGTTCACACTGGAGAGAAACCGTACTGGTGTGAACAATGTGGGAAAATGTTTTCTCAGAGCAGTACCCTTAAACGCCACCAACGCACTCATGATGCTTCGTTGTGATCATATTTCAGAGCCAAGTGAGTTGCTTATACTTTATTGTGTCAATACATATCATTTACTCATGTCTCTGTTTTTGTTTAGTATAGTATGGTACACAGTTGTATTTCCTGAAGTATTTGGTAGATGTGTCCAGTTGTGTTTTTGGGGTTTTGGCTCTGGTGAGTCTTTACCGTGCATCTCAAAAAGGGTGCAGGTCTCCAAGAGTTCTCATGTGGACTTTTTCTCTCAAATAGCTTCTCACTTGCAAATATCAATAGAAGTGATTACTATAGAGACCAAATCTATTAGCTGTATCTTCTGAAGAGTCCACTCTCTTCATTATATTAAATCTTGTGGGGTCCTGAAAACATCATCAAAATAGTTTGGAGTAAAATCAACTTCCCATGATGTTTCTCTTAAACAGGTAATTTCTTGTTTCTTTAGTTACTTTACATTTTTTCTCCAGATTTGAAATGTGTTAACTGTATATAGAGTAGTTGTGTATTTTGATCTGTTGTTATTTTCTAAATGTGGTTTTGAATCTGTTGAGGTTTGTTCAGACTGAAAGCCAATTCTTGTCGAAACAAAGAGCCGCAGATTCGTTAATGATGGCGCCAGCTGAGGTGAAGACGTGTCTGCTCAAGTCTGAAATGTTTCAGCTCAAATGCAAAATTCAGCTTTGCCTTTGACTAATGAACAGAGAGACAAGAAAAAACAGAAACTGGAGGAAAGAGACTAAAGACGTTTCTGCTGAGTTCTTAGATCAACGTCTGAAGGACTCGGTACGCTTTGTAATGGAAATTTGATATTTTACTCTGTTTACTGTTTCACCCTGCATGCTCCATTATAATATACAAAGGTCTCACTGTATATTTGATATTTTATCATGTTTCAGCTAGGTGAAGCTTCCTATGGGAAAGATGCTCGTTTTCTTATCTGACTGACCTTGATAGGCCTTCGACTCAGGACAGCTGGTCCCGACTACCTCGCTCTTCTGAGTAATATAAAGTCACCTGCTCCTTCACTGGCTTTTTGTCTTACACTTTTCAGACTGTTTGGCACTCTGTATGTTTGTCTGACCCTTTGCAAAGAATAAAACCCTTAAAAGATGTCTGGATTAGAATCTTTATTTCAGAAGACTCACTAAAGGACATATTTCCATTACAGCTTCAAACGAATTAGATCCTAGATGCCTCTGGGTTTAACTGCTGTGGTTTGATCCAGTGAAGAGGAAGAGGCGCTGAATAAACGGGGACTACAAAACCACTACAGACCACATTTGTGTTCAGTGTGAACAAACCTTCGTTATTGTGAAAGTCTGACTGAATCAAATATTATCGTGTCTTCATTATCTGACTCCATTTTAACAGCTGTTTGCTTTCTTTTCTGTCAGTAAATGTGTTGCTTTCTGTTTAACTTGCATCCTGCCAGGGTTGGTGCTGTAATAATCTGAGCTGGAGACTTGAGACTCGAGTCCTTTTCAATATTCTCATTAAATTAGTCGACTCAAAGAGAAGCTTTGACTCATCATTTGAAACTGGACGTTCAATGAACTGTTTCCACTCAACAATATTTTTTCTGTTATTGATTGAAGCACAGACCATTTACCTGTTTTACATTTGATGATGACCCCGCCGACCCAGGCTGAGGGATTGGATGATGTTCATGATGACCTCATCACCGCTGTCACCACAGACCGTCACTTCCGAGCTGATCAGAAATCAAAGAGAAAAGTTGTGTTTTCAAAGGAGCATGATGAAAGTGAAACGTCCTGTTTTGATCCTGCAGTCACAAACCTTTAACTTCTACTTCAGATTCTGATCTCGTCTGTGCAGCAGCACCAAAACAAGCGGTGGAAGCTGATTTAAAGGTGGAAAACCTCTTTATCGTCTTCTCACTCTCACATTCCTTATTAAATATCATGTTTTCTAATGAACTGCATCACTTGTGGAAAACAAAAGCCCACTCTTTGGCCTCTGAGTCTGTTTGGGGTCAAAAGAAACCTCCAGACTTTCACTCTCAGTCCTTCAGAGTCTAACAGAGCTTCCAGAGGTTTTGTTGAAGAGTCAGACTGTGTTTGAGCGCCACCTGCTGCTCATTAAGCAGACAGACCAATAAAGATGAAGAATAAAGAGAACAGAGTGCTGCTGTTCCTCCATCTTCTGCTCTTTCCTTCATTGTTTTACTCTCTCTGGATGCTGCTGTGCTCTGACAGGAAATCACTGACGTTTAGTGGCTGAACGAGCAGCTTTGATTTGTTATTGACAAATCAAAGCTGACGTATTGCGGTAAGCGTGTCGACTCATTTCCGTTTCTGGTGCTTGTGTGTTGGTACCGTGTTGTGCTGCTCTCGCTAAATAACAGTTACATTTGTTTGATTACAGCGGCCAACCGTCCGCTAAACACTTATTCTTTACAGTAATTTTGCCTAAGCACTCACAGTTCTTTCCATCTTCTAGTGACTGCTGTTCAATCTCATAGTTGTTCTAAAGTTTTGGTAGCTGACGCTACAGTACTTTAGCTTAGCAGCTAGCGATGGCTTCTCCTTCTCCCTCTCTCTCTCCTACTTTCTCCTGCTCGGTGTGTCAGATGTTCAGTTACTCCTCTGCCTCCTTTAGCGGTAATGGTATGTGTAATAAGTGTAGTTTATTTATAGACATGGAGGTGAGGCTCAGTGATTTAGAAGTCCGGCTCCGCACCTTGGTAGATCAGTCTTTAGCTACTGTAGCTAGCCAGTCCCCGGTAGTCGGTGCGGAACGGCCTGAGTTGGCCTCTGGTAGCCGTCCTCCGGCATCTCCTGTGCAGCCAGGAAGGGGGGGCTGGGTGACTGTCCGAAGGAGGAAAAGTTGTAAGCATTCAAAGTCCACGGGGCATCATCAACCTGTTCACGTCTCTAACAGATTTTCCCCACTCAGCGACACACCCGCTGAGAAACCAACTCTGATCATTGGCAGCTCCATTTTGAGAAACGTGAATTTAGCGAAGCCAGCGGCCATAGTTAAGTGCATCCCTGGGGCCAGAGCGGGCGACATTGAGTCTTCTTTGAAACTGCTGGCTAAGGATAAACGTAAATACAGTAAGATTGTTATTCACGTCGGCGGTAATGACTCCCGGTTATGCCAATTGGAGGTCACTAAGATTAATGTTGAGTCGGTGTGTACATATGCAAAAACAATGTCGGACACCGTAGTTTTCTCTGGACCCCTGCCAAATCTGACCAGTGATGACATGTATAGCCGCATGTCGTCATTCCGCCGCTGGTTGTCGAGGTGGTGTCCAGCAAACGATGTGGGCTTTGTTGATCATTGGCAGACTTTCTGGGGAAGACCTGGTCTGATCCGGAGAGACGGCATCCATCCCACTTGGGAAGGAGCAGCTCTCATTTCTAGAAATCTGGCCAAGTTTATTAGTGGACCAAATCCATGACAACCCAGAGTTGAGACCAGGAGGCAGAGTCGCAGTTTAACACACTTCTCTGCCCTTCTTTTTCAGCAGTTACCCACCCAAAACCCTACGCAGAGTCGCAGTCTAACACACTTCTCTGCTCCTCCATTTCAGGAGTTACTTAGTGAAAATCCTATAGTGACGGTGTCTGCCCCCCGACCATCGAAATTATTTAAAAAGGTAAACAGAAGAGGAGCTGTGCATAAAAACCTCATAAAAATTAAAACCACAAGAACAATAGTGCAAACGAATAGGAGAGTTAAATGTGGACTCTTAAACATCAGATCTCTCTCTTCTAAAGGTGTACTAGTAAATGAACTAATATGATTATGATCTTGATTTATTTGGTCTTACTGAAACCTGGCTGGGTGATGGAGAATATGTTAGCCTAAATGAATCCACCCCTCCCAGTCATATTAATACTCACATTCCTCGAGGCACAGGCCGAGGAGGTGGAGTTGCAGCTATCTTCGACTTCAGCCTATTAATCAGCTCTAAACCTAAACTAAACTATAACTCATTTGAAAGTCTTGTTCTTAGTCTTTCGCACCCAAGTTGGAAATCACTGCAACCAATTCTTTTTGTTATAGTGTACCGAGCACCTGGCCCGTATTCTGAATTCTTATCTGAATTTGCAGAGTTTTGTCAACTTTAGTCCTTAAAACGGACAAAGTTATTATTGTAGGGGACTTTAATATTCATGTGGATGTTGAGAATGACAGCTTTAGTACTGCGTTTATCTCTCTGTTAGATTCCATTGGCTTCTCTCAGAGTGTTCATGAACCGACTCACTGTTTTAACCACACCCTCGACCTTGTTTTGGTTTATGGTATTGAAATTGAACATTTAGTGGTGTTCCCACAGAATCCCTCTTTGTCCGACCACTGTTTGATAACTTTTGAGTTTGTATTGCTGAACTACACACCATTGGGCAAAAATTTCTATACAAGATGTCTGTCTGATAGTGCTGTAGCTGAATTTAAGGATGCGATTCCATCAGCTCTAAATTCATTATCAAGTCACAAAGTAACGGAGGACTCCTATGCTAATTTCAGTCCCTCCCAAATCGATCATCTTGTTGATAGTGCTGCAGGCTCGCTGCGAATGACACTCGATTCTGTAGCCCCTCTAAAAAAAGAAAATACTAAAACAAAGACGGTTAACTCCATGGTATAATACTGAAACTCGCAAATTAAAGCAAATATCGCGGAACCTTGAGAGGAATTGGCGTTCCACTTTGTCCGACCACTGTTTGATAACTTTTGAGTTTGTATTGCTGAACTACACGCCATTGGGCAAAAATTTCTATACAAGATGTCTGTCTGATAGTGCTGTAGCTGAATTTAAGGATGCGATTCCATCAGCTCTAAATTCATTATCAAGTCACAAAGTAACGGAGGACTCCTATGCTAATTTCAGTCCCTCCCAAATCGATCATCTTGTTGATAGTGCTGCAGGCTCGCTGCGAATGACACTCGATTCTGTAGCCCCTCTAAAAAAAGAAAATACTAAAACAAAGACGGTTAACTCCATGGTATAATACTGAAACTCGCAAATTAAAGCAAATATCGCGGAACCTTGAGAGGAATTGGCGTTCCACTAAAGTGGAAAATTCTCGTTTAATTTGGCAAGATAGTCTTAAAACTTATAGGAAGGCCCTCCGTAATGCCAGAGCAGCGTACTACTCGTCATTAATAGAGGACAATAGGAACAACCCCAGGTTTCTTTTCAGCACTGTAGCCAGGCTGACAGAGAGTCACAGCTCTATTGAGCCAAGTATTCCCATAGCTCTCAGTAGTTACGACTTCATGAGCTTCTTTAATGATAAAATTCTAGCTATTAGAGACAAAATTCACCAAGACCTGCCCTCAACTGGCACCAACTTATCTTTAAACTCAGGAATCTTAGAAACAGCTGTAGAACCAGATACATGTTTAGACTGTTTTGCTTCCCTCAATCTTTACCAACTAACTTCAATAATTTCTTCATCTAAACCATCAACCTGCCTCTTAGACCCCATCCCGACTAGGCTGCTTAAAGATGTTTTACCCTTAGTCAGCACCTCTATACTAGATATGATCAATCTATCTTTATCAACAGGCTATGTACCACAGTACTTTAAAGTAGCTGTAATTAAACCTCTTCTGAAAAAGCCCAAACTTGATCCGGATGTTTTAGCCAACTATAGACCTATATCTAACCTTCCATTTCTCTCTAAGGTTCTGGAGAAAGCAGTTGCTAAAAAGCTGTGTGACTTTCTACAGAGCAATAGTTTATTTGAGGATTTTCAGTCAGGATTTAGAGCTCATCATAGCACAGAGACAGCACTGGTGAAAATTACTAATGACCTCCTTATTGCATCAGACAAAGGACTTGTCTCTGTACTGGTTTTATTAGATCTTAGTGCTGCATTTGATACCATTGACCATCAGATCCTATTGCAAAGACTGGAATATTTCATTGGCATTAAAGGAACCGCTCTAAGCTGGTTTAAGTCCTATTTATCAGATCGATTTCAGTTTGTACATGTTAACATGAGTCCTCCATGCACGCCAAAGTTACTCATGGAGTTCCTCAAGGATCTGTCCTCGGACCAATCCTCTTCACTTTATATATGCTTCCTTTAGGCAATATTATCAGGAAACATTCCATAAGCTTTCATTGT